AAGAGTGCTGTGACATCAAATGAGATCATAATTTCATCTTCATCTATGTGTACATCTTTGACTTTCTGGAGGCATTGTAGTGAGGAGTTGATAGAATACTCACTCTTCTCGGTGAGATGTCCAAGCTCTTTTGTCAGTTCTTTTGTTATGTTGTATGTTGGAGTCCCTGGTAAAGATACAATTAGTCAGAGTGGTATGGCAGGCTTGTGTATTTTTGGTCATCCATAGAAGTGTGGGAGGATTGGTCCACTGCTTTTCATCCACCACTGTTCTTCCTTTGTGATCTGGCCTTTCTTGGTTAGGTCGTTAAGGCTTCTCCTGATTAGGTTGTCTAGTTTCTGTATTGGGTTGGTGTTAACTGGGATGTAGGTTTCTTTGTCCTCTAATAACTGTTTGGCTTTTTGCAGGTATGATGATTTATCCATAGTAACTGTGGTTTGGCCTTTGTGTGCTGGGAGGATGATGATGGTTTAGTCCTTCCTTAGGCTATTGAGGGCTGCTCTGTCCTCTGCTTTGAGTTGGTGTTGATACTGTGTTCTTCTGATCTGTGATATGATTGTCTGCCTTATGTTTTCTTGGGTCTCTGGGTTAAGTCCTGTAGTTCTGAATGCTGCTTCTAGGGCTGCACAGAATTACTCAGATACTTTCAGAAAGATTTCTATGCTCTGATTCTTGTATTTCTGTGCAAGTGTATTTTTTCTTCATGTGTAGTGCAATACTTCTACCCTATTTGGTCTCCTTTTGAACAAATTGTAGGCTTCCAGTGCTGTGTGCCAATCATAGTACCATCCTACCAAGTTTCAGTGATGTCTGTCATATATTTGTCTTCTCAAGTTAGGATCTTTAGATTTCCCTGTTTGTTTCCCATACTCTGTGCATCTGGTGTAGAAACATCTGAGGTTTTAAGCAGAACTACCTGCTGACATCTCTTTTATAGAGACCTGCAAAATTCTAAGTCCCCACAGTGACCTCTTGCTTCCCCCTTTGTGTTTTGCTTTTTAGGACCCAGTCCTTGGCTATTGATGCTGGACTTTTGCCACTGATCCCTTTTGTATTACTTTAACACCCTCCTAATGAAACTATCAAAGCACCTATGAAACATTTCCTTCCCAGTGTTTGTTAAGATGTATCCTGTCTTTTCCCAGAAGTCCTTCACAAAGGTAACATATGTCACTATCAGAATCCAAATGCTTTTTTGGCAATATTATCTGTGCAGCCAGTTGTTAACTTCCAGGATCCTGTCTGGGTTTCTTGTACCATGACTATCAGTTGGAAGGGTTGATTAAAAACAAAACAAAACAAAACAAAACCCTCTGCGCTCATAGTTTATGTTTTTATTTGTGTATTGACTTGTAAGCCACATCAATCGCTAGAATAACTCTAGGAAGCTTCCTTCACCTTCCTGCCCAAGAGCTTGTAGAGATTAGAGGTAGTACATCTTGATAACTGAGGTCAAACCTTTCTCCACACATTATCTTGTCCTCAGCTTCATGACTTCTTAGGGACACTCCAGGACATTCACATATACAAATCTTGGCTAAATAAATAACAGCATACTCCACCCATTAGAGTTTTTTTCAAAACTTTTTTCTACTTTGAAAAAAGGTTTAAAGCATTCTCTTTTATCATATTGAATGAGAACTGATAGATAAAAGTGAAGGACAATTTCTCTTCCTGGGATTAATTTCCATTTCTCAATCCAATCACCACATTAAGTATATCATTTAAAATCTATTATAACATCAGTGCCCAAGAGCTATGTAAATTAGCTCTTTCGAATAAGAGCCATAACAAATCAATGGAATGTATATTTTATTTGTTTAAGCGTAGACAATTGTCAATTTATTATGGTATTAAATTCCAGTAGGATAAGCTACTCTAAGCCTAGGCATCTGAAATGCAAAATATACAGCATATTTTTGTTTCTCAGAAAGGCAACATGTGTGTAAATTAATGTAAAGTTTGAATAAGGAAACCAATATTGAAAAAAGGATGACAGGTAAAAGAAAACCTGATAATTTTTTACCATACCTTGAACAAGATTTAGGTCAGAAAGAAAACAAAAAAATACTTTAAAAATTAAAAGAGATTTTATGGGCTGGAGTATCAAATAAAAGTAGCATTGTCTGCTTGTAGATTAAAAAAATACTCTTTGCTTCTCTGTTTTGAACAGAGTCCCAGTGATAACACTGTGGTCTCTTGTTTAAAATGAGAAGTGATGCTGGGAGACACAATGAAAGGCAATCAGTCTTCAGCAGAGCTTAAACACGCTGGACCTGGAACAAAATGTCCTAAGACATCTCAAAACAAACCAGCCTCGTTTCTATAAACACTGACTGGTTGTAACAGGTGAGACTTCTTTTCAGTTAAATGAATGCCTGCTTATTAATAAAACAAGGAACCAGCAACATTTGGATTAGGAATCAAAGATGCAATATTGGTGGCTTTTAAGATTTGCATTTTGAGATTCTCTAAACATGGGGATTTATAAAAACTGCAGACATTAATGCTCCTGGATTACAGACCTGTCACATTTTAGAAGGACACGAGAGTAGAATGACACAAGAGCTAGAAGGAGAATGCAAAGGAGATGCAAAGATTCTGAGGCCAGACAGATCAGTTAGAAAAATAATGCATGGATGTCAGTCATTCCTCCCATAATCAACCAACTTTCTGTTTTGGCACAGGAGAGCAAAAGAGACTTAAGAGCTGAACTTGAGGATATATCTCTAGCTATCTAGCTTAGTGCTGACAATTGCTGTTGTTTTGCTCTAATTATGCTTGTTTCAATATCTGTAATAAAACTAATTTATCAATGAGCTATCTCCTTGAATCTCTGTCTGCTCTCTGAGTTTGAATAATAGTCTGGGTGAAGCCTGACAAGAGATAGGTGCAGGTGTTTGGAACTAGATTCCTTCAATTCTGTTTTTGAAACAAAACTTTTGCTTTTGTGGAGAACTGGGTGGCATTTACAGACAAGGTCTAATATGAATTGTCATTCATGATGTTGGTGATGATTTATTAATTGGATTTTTACTCTGCCTTTTCACCAAAAATAAGGATCAAGGTGTTAATTATAGCAAAATACAAAGAAGGAAGTCCACAACCAGACTAGATACGTTTGGCTCTTCTTTCAGAGGGGAGAAACCAAGTGATTATAGTGGTTCAGGCATTGGACATGAGACTTTTCACTCTAGCCTCATTCATATTGAAAAGTTCACTGTCTCTCACCCAGGCTACCCCACTAGGAAAAATTGGAGGATGAAATGCTATATACACCACTTTGACCTCCTGAGGGAAAGGTGGGAAATCAATCAATCAATCAATCAATCAATCAATCAATCAATCAATCAATCAAT